CACCATCACCACCACCACTACCACCACCATCACCACTACCACCACCATCACCACCATCACCACCACCACTACCACCACCATCACCACTACCACCACCATCACCACTACCACCACCATCACCACCATCACCACCACCACTACCACCACCATCACCACTACCACCACCATCACCACCACCACCATCACCACTACCACCACCACTACCACCATCACCACTACCACCACCACCACCACTACCACCATCACCTCTACTTTTACTACTACTAATTCAACACCTGCTAGTTTAATAGTGAAATAAGTAACCTCAAGCCACACTCCAGCCAGTGGGTTTAATTGTAAGTTTATTAAAACCTTCCGAACAAAAATTGCTTTTTACCAAAAGCAATTTTTTTTTCCAAAAATATATTTTGGCTGTAAATGAGAGTGTAGATTGCTAGTTCAGTTTTGTTTTGTTGACTGTGATAAGGATATCTCAAGGATGTGTACTGGTCGACTTTATGGTAGGATAAGGATATCTCAAGGATGTGTACTGGTCGACTTTATGGTAGGATAAGGATATCTCAAGGATGTGTACTGGGCGACTTTATGGTAGGATAAGGATATCTCAAGGATGTGTACTGGGCGTCTTTATGGTAGGATAAGGATATCTCAAGGATGTGTACTGGCATCTAGTTTGTCTATACAAATGAGTTAGTATTTCTGGCTAAAATTTATGTTCTTGTAGTCTCTAAAAAGAGCCTTGAAAAAAACTTAAATTAATATTTTGAATTTATTCATTTATATCTAAATATAAACTTTGAATACATAAACAAATAAAAATGATAAACATTTGGATTTGAACTAATTCCGAGTAATTTGTATTATATACAAATATTTGAAATTATTGAAAAATATGAAATTATAGAAAAATATGAAATATTTTCAAGGTAAATTTTAAATTGCATTTTAAACGTCTTCAGATGTTTGGATGTTGTTAGTCACAACAGTGTTCTTGAACAGGCTGTCAAAAGGAGGCCTAATATATGTTTATTATTTTAAAATTTGATTTACTTAATGTAATCACTAAAATCTTGTATCTTAAAATTTGATTATTTTTCCGATTGTTGCTAATATAAAACTGGAACAAATTTTTTAATATACAAAAATTTATATAATTTGAAAATATCATGAAACAGTACTTTGAAAAAGTATTATTAATATTCCAGATATAACGAGCAGTAAGATCGATTTATAAAGATTTAAATAGTTTTTACTAAAATATTACACGCCAAATATTGACACAATTTCAAAAATCAAATAACATAATGGTTAAATTGGCCTCACAAGCCCTAAAAAAAAAATCACAGATTTGGTTAAAAAAAATAATATAGGCAACTTTTAATTAGACAGAAATATATAATTTTGTTGGGGCAGATAATGATGTTCACTGATATATGTATATATATATTTTATATTTTTTGTTAAGCTCGTAGAACCAGGATTTAGAGCCCGAGGTGAAGTCTTTGATGTAACCATATAATATATACTTTTATACCAACTATCATCCAGGTTATTATTTATTCAGTTACAACTGTTGTTTTACTGTTGCTCCTGTTGTAAAACAGTTCTTCTACGCCTTGGGGCGTAGAAGAACTCTAGAGACCCTCTACAGGTAAACTATTGACGTGTTGGAGAGAGCCCGGCCCAGTCGCCAACCTCTCGCCAAAGTGATGCAAACAACTTTTGCACCTTTGAAACAAGAGCGTCGGTATTGCGCGTGTCTTACCGTTGCTGTGGTCCGGTATTGCATCGCTAATTTGGTATAACTTATTCTAGAGGTGAACGGGCAGTACAACATGTTTTATCCGTGTTGTAGTTATTATCGTAATTGTGAATGTTATTATCATTACCTCGGATATGAAAGCGGATGTCGTATTAGCAGTCTCCGTGGTGTAGTGGTAAGACACTCGCCTGGCGTTCCGCGAGCGCTATGTCATGGGTTCGTATCTTGGCCGGGGAGGATTTACTGGGCGCAATTCCTTAACTGTAGCCTCTGTTTAACGCAACAGTAAAATGTGTACTTGGTTGTAACAACGATTCTTCGCGGCAGGGGATCGTATTCCAGGGACCATAGGATTAAGGACTTGCCCGAAACGCTACGCGTACTAGTGGCTGTACAAGAATGTAACAACTCTTGTATATATCTCAAAAAAAAAATATATATATATAAATCCTGGCAGATCAGCGCTCATTTGGTTTATTGGTTTTGAAACAGCGGACACAAACTCCCTTTGTTGGTTATACAACGATTTAAACCTTATAAATATTTGAGGTTTACAATATACTGACAGAATATGCAATATGCATGTTTCTGCACATACACATATATACATAAATTTATTCATTATCAACATTTAATACAGCTGAAATAGAGTGAACTTCACCCCCTAGTTATTCCATTTATGATCACAGTATTATACAAGAGGAGCCAGCTGTCTGTGGGTGATCCTAGAGCCAGCTGTCTGTGGGTCATCCTAGAGCCAGCTGTCTGTGGGTGATCCTAGGGCCAGCTGTCTGTGGGTCATCCTAGAGCCACCTGTCTGTGGGTCATCCTAGAGCCACCTGTCTGTGGGTCATCCTGGAGCCACCTGTTTGTGGGTCATCCTAGAGCCACCTGTCTGTAGGTGATCCTAGGGCCAGCTGTCTGTGGGTGATCCTAGAGCCAGCTGTCTGTGGGTGATCCTAGAACCAGCTGTCTGTGGGTCATCCTGGAGCCATCTGTCTGTGGGTCATCCTAGAGCCAGCTGTCTGTGGGTCATCCTAGAGCCAGCTGTCTGTCGGTCATCCTGGAGCCATCTGTCTGTGGGTGATCCTAGAGCCAGCTGTCTGTGGGTCATCCTAGAGCCACCTGTCTGTGGGTCATCCGAGGGCCAGCTGTCTGTGGGTCATCCTGGAGCCATCTGTTTGTGGGTCATCCTAGAGCCAGCTGGCTGTGGGTCATCCTAGAGCCACCTGTCTGTGGGTCATCCTAGAGCCAGCTGTCTGTGGGTCATCCTGGAGCCATCTGTTTGTGGGTCATCCTAGAGCCATCTGTCTGTGGGTCATCCTGGAGCCATCTGTTTGTGGGTCATCCTAGAGCCACCTGTCTGTGGGTCATCCTAGAGCCAGCTGTCTGTGGGTCATCCTGGAGCCATCTGTTTGTGGGTCATCCTAGAGCCAGCTGTCTGTGGGTCATCCTAGAGCCACCTGTCTGTGGGTCATCCTAGAGCCAGCTGTCTGTGGGTCATCCTGGAGCCATCTGTTTGTGGGTCATCCTAGAGCCATCTGTCTGTGGGTCATCCTGGAGCCATCTGCTTGTGGGTCATCCTAGAGCCAGCTGTCTGTGGGTCATCCTAGAGCCAGCTGTCTGTGGGTCATCCTAGAGCCACTTGTCTGTGGGTCATCCTAGAGCCAGCTGTCTGTGGGTCATCCTAGAGCCAGCTGTCTGTGGGTCATCCTAGAGCCAGCTGTCTGTGGGTCATCCTGGAGCCATCTGTCTGTGGGTCATCCTAGAGCCAGCTGTCTGTGGGTCATCCTAGAGCCAGCTGTCTGTGGGTCATCCTGGAGCCATCTGTCTGTGGGTGATCCTAGAGCCAGCTGTCTGTTGGTCATCCAAGAGCTACCTGTCTGTGGGTGATCCTAGAGCCACCTGTCTGTGGGTCATCCTAGAGCCATCTGTCTGTGGGTGATCCTAGAGCCAGCTGTCTGTTGGTCATCCAAGAGCCACCTGTCTGTGGGTGATCCTAGAGCCACCTGTCTGTGGGTCATCCTAGAGCCACCTGTCTGTGGGTCATCCTAGAGCCAGCTGTCTGTGGGTCATCCTAGAGCCAGCTTTCTGTGGGTCATCCTAGAGCCACCTGTCTGTGGGTCATCCTAGAGCCACCTGTCTGTGGGTCATCCTAGAGCCAGCTGTCTGTGGGTCATCCTAGAGCCAGCTTTCTGTGGGTCATCCTAGAGCCAGCTGTCTGTGGGTCATCCTAGAGCCACCTGTCTGTGGGTGATCCTAGGGCCACCTGTCTGTGGGTCATCCTAGAGCCACCTGTCTGTGGGTCATCCTAGAGCCACCTGTCTGTGGGTAATCCTAGAGCCACCTGTCTGTGGGTGATCCTAGGGCCACCTGTCTGTGGGTGATCCTAGGGCCACCTGTCTGTGGGTCATCCTAGAGCCACCTGTCTGTGGGTCATCCTAGAGCCACCTGTCTGTGGGTCATCCTAGAGCCACCTGTCTGTGGGTCATCCTAGAGCCACCTGTCTGTGGGTCATCCTAGAGCCACCTGTCTGTGGGTCACCCTAGAGCCAGCTGTCTGTGGGTCATCCTAGAGCCACCTGTCTGTGGGTCACCCTAGAGCCAGCTGTCTGTGGGTCACCCTAGAGCCAGCTGTCTGTGGGTCATCCTAGAGCCACCTGTCTGTGGGTCATCCTAGAGCCACCTGTCTGTGGGTCACCCTAGAGCCAGCTGTCTGTGGGTCATCCTAGAGCCACCTGTCTGTGGGTCACCCTAGAGCCAGCTGTCTGTGGGTCACCCTAGAGCCAGCTGTCTGTGGGTCATCCTAGAGCCACCTGTCTGTGGGTCACCCTAGAGCCAGCTGTCTGTGGGTCACCCTAGAGCCACCTGTCTGTAACTGAATGTCTGAACTGAACTGTTTCACTATGTAACTGAATGTGAAAAATCTCGGAATTCAGAGACATAACTCATATTACAAATGCTCAAGAAAGGAAAGTTTTTAAAGTGAGGTTTCACCATAAATAGGTAAATTTCCAGAGTTTGTTTACTTTGGATATATGGATCAAATAGAAAACTACTTGTATTTCCTATTTAAGCTTTGGTGTGAAGTAATCTATCACAGTGATATCTTAGAATATCTTCCAAAGAAGCCTCACCTCAGCTTAAAGCTTCGTGACGCGAAGCTTTAAGCGTGGAGATGCCAGGCTTCAGCGTGCCGGAGAAAGGAAGTTCTCAATGACGGAACAGGAGACACCTACCTGGTACCTGTCGAGGGCGATGGCGGTGATGGAGATGGTGGAGACGAAGATGGAGGTGGCCTGGAGCGTGCCCACCAGTTTACACAGGAAGGGATGGTTGCCCAGCGGCCAGTACAGCGACAGCAGCTCCACCAGCGTCAGCGGCATCGTCACCAGACACAGCAACAGGTCTGAAATGGCCAGGTTGATGATGAAGACATTACGCGCCGTTCTCATGGCCGGCTTCCTGATGACGGCGACTACGACCAGAGAGTTGCCGGTCGAGCCCAGGATGATGAGGAGACTGTAGACGACGATGAGGGCGTAGTAAGCCGCGTCGTTGACGCGTCTGTTGCGCTGGAACTTCTTGAGGATCTCTTCGTCAAGACTGCTAGAGATGTTGAATATCCAGGAGAAGTTTGTAGGTATTTCGGTGATGTTGACGAAGCTGTCCAAGTTGCCCATTTCTACCTGGCAATCCGTGTCATTTGAAAACTCTTGCGTTATTAATAACAGCTCTGACGACTGATCCATGATGCTGTTGTTGTTGTTGGTGCAGACTCCTTATCAAAGTCGCCTCCGGACACTACTTCTCGCCGCACACAAATGCAGATCACTGTCCTTCACACAATGCACGAATCGCTGGACACTGACATGTGTTTCCAACACCTAATCAAAGCAACATAGGAAGATTAGTTTTGTTCCCACTAACCACAGGAACATAGAAATCTAACTTTTATTTACACAATGTTTTGAGCTTTAGAAACTTAACCTTATTATCTCAGGGTAGAGTGAGGGGAGCTTGTGTGTGCATCTTGTTGTGCAGCCTCCAGCTACACCATCACAAGTCTCTCTCTACTGCTCACCTGGCGGGAGTGTTGTTACCTGAGAGTATTGTGACTGTCCTTTGTCCACCTCGCACGATAACCTCACTTCTTGGCTATTTCTATAGAGAGGTTGTTGACTCTGAGCTGCCTTCACCACGTGTATTCCCCTCAGCACGTGTATTCCCCTCAGAACGTGTATGTCCCTCAGCACGTGTATGTCCCTCAGCACGTGTATGTCCCTCAGCACGTGTATGTCCCTCAGCACGTGTGTCCCTCAGCACGTGTATCCCTCAGCACGTGTGTCCCTCAGCACGTGTATATCCCTCAGCGCGTGTATGTCCCTCAGCACGTGTATTCCCCTCAGCACGTGTATTCCCCTCAGCACGTGTATTCCCCTCAGAACGTGTATGTCCCTCGGTACGTGTATGTCCCTCAGCACGTGTATGTCCCTCAGCACGTGTGTCCCTCAGCACGTGTATCCCTCAGCACGTGTGTCCCTCAGCACGTGTATATCCCTCAGCGCGTGTATGTCCCTCAGCACGTGTATTCCCCTCAGCACGTGTATTCCCCTCAGCACATGTATGTCCCCTCAGCACGTGTATTCCCCTCAGCACGTGTATATCCCTCAGCACGTGTATGTCCCTCAGCACGTGTATGTCCCTTAGCACGTGTATGTCCCTCAGCACGTGTATTCCCCTCAGCACGTGTATTCCCCTCAGCACATGTATGTCCCCTCAGCACGTGTATTCCCCTCAGCACGTGTATATCCCTCAGCACGTGTATTCCCCTCAGCACGTGTATTCCCCTCAGAACGTGTATGTCCCTCAGTACGTGTATGTCCCTCAGCACGTGTATTCCCCTCAGCACGTGTATGTCCCTCGGCACGTGTATATCCCTCAGCACGTGTATATCCCTCAGCACGTGTATGTCCCTCAGAACGTGTATGTCCCTCAGCACGTGTATATCCCTCAGCACGTGTATTCCCCTCAGCACGTGTATTCCCCTCAGCACGTGTATGTCCCTCGGCACGTGTATATCCCTCGGCACGTGTATATCCCTCAGCACGTGTTTTCCCCTCAGCACGTGTATGTCCCTCAGCACGTGTATGTCCCTCAGCACGTGTATTCTAACTTATCAGAGAGCCAATCAGCTCAGCATTTAGATATCTCTGATTCCATCACTCCACCTGTCAATAAACACGACCATTCATATACATCCAAGTAAAACAAATTCATTTCGCAAAATCGAGATTAATATTTTGAAAACAATACATTTGTAGGAAAACAAATTACGCATTGGTGATCATATTGTAAACTATTGTTAAACAAAACAATCATGTGTAAATGGCTTGGTTTGGGGTGGTGGGCATGTAGAAGCAATACTGGATTAGTCGTCATGAACTCATGACAAATGACCCTCACTGTTTGCAGGTATGAGTCTCTGTTATTGCTCTACTGTCCGAGCAACACTTATTAAAAAGTAATATTGCATAAATTGTTGATATAAACAATCAGAGAGAGGGATAGAGAGAGAGATTGAAAGAGAGAGAGAGAGAGAGAGAGAGAGAGAGAGAGAGAGAGAGAGAGAGAGAGACAGAGAGAGAGAGACAGAGAGAGACAGAGAGAGAGACAGAGAGAGACAGAGAGAGACAGAGAGAGAGACAGAGAGAGACAGAGAGAGAGAGAGAGAGAGAGAGAGAGAGAGAGAGAGAGAGAGAGAGTGAGAGAGAGAGTGAGAGAGAGAGAGAGAGAGAGAGAGAGAGAGAGAGAGAGAGAGAGAGAGAGAGAGAGAGAGAGAGAGAGAGAGAGAGAGAGAGAGAGAGAGAGAGAGTGAGAGAGAGAGTGAGAGAGAGAGAGAGAGAGAGACAGAGAGAGACAGAGAGAGAGACAGAGAGAGACAGAGAGAGACAGAGAGAGAGACAGAGAGAGACAGAGAGAGACAGAGAGAGAGAGAGAGAGAGAGAGAGAGAGTGAGAGAGAGAGTGAGAGAGAGAGAGAGAGAGAGAGAGAGAGAGTGAGAGAGAGAGGGAAGTGCAGTTAAACGTGTCGAATGATTTTCAACTTTATTAGGAAATAAGGATTAATATCAAGCACTAAAGTAAGACGCAGTGAACGGCCAATATAACCTATCGTTGGTGCACTCCAGAACTGTCAAGTGCGGGGGGAGAGTGCAAGGCGTCCTGAGCCTCCTCCCCGTCACTCTCTGATAACAACTACAAAGTTACAGAGTGTAAGCGACCAACAACAGAACAAAACAGTACACCCTGCCGCCGTCATTGTCGGTGAGACGGAACGCCCAAAAGAAACATTTCCGAACGCAAAATTAAATCCGTCTTTCCAAGCCGACCTACAAGAATGACAACACTGCCTTGACAACCTCTCCCTCTTACCCAGAACGTGGGCGCATTTTTTGCAGAATCGACCAATACGTTAAAAATGCAACGTGTTAATCAGGATTAAAGCACTGTTTTAACGTTTTCCATGCGGGAAAATCCTAGCAGCTTTAATCCCTTTTAATTATGTGAATACTCAAATATTTATTTATTTTTTAATTGACTTAAATATGATAATTTTTATCTGATTATTTTTCTTAGTTAGTTCTTAGTAATAAGTTAGTTAATTAGATAGTAGTAAATTAGTAAGTAAGTGGACTGTATGTACTGATTCAGCTGCTTGAATTTATCTCACATAATTGGAGGGGACAATTTGTAGCTTAAACCACTTTGAGACGGCTCCTTCATAAACCACAAATTGTTTAGTCTTTGATATATAAATTATAAATCATACCCCATATGGTGGTCTAATCTACTATTATACTACAGTAAATGAATTTTTTATTACTAATACTATGTCTACAGTATTGAACAAAAGGGGGGCTTAGCTGTTCCTGTTGGTGGGACCTGCTAAGGCTGTGTAATTGTAGCATCAAAATTGGGTGTGGCTCTGTGCCTCTGAGTGCCACGTAATGGCGGCTGTATGGACGCCTACAAAGCTTGATGTATAGCTAGTGGAAGCAATTTCTATAAATATGTTTGGAGCCAGCTTCCTGCTTCACTAACTTCCCCTCACAATTACCTGTTTGGGACGTAAGGAATTAATAAAGGTTCCCTAAACATATAATTACAGATATGACATGTAATATGTGTGTGTAGAGCTGAGTACGTACGGGATAGGGCGTTTAATCCCACATTATATCCGTCGACCTATTTATGAATAAAATGGCCACATTAAACTATAAATACTTAGTAAGACGGATACTGGTGTTGCTGTGGTTGTTGAGAGGCTGTTGTGCTGGTTGCTCGCTTGTTGACACGTAGTGTGGGTGTCTAACGAGTTAAAGCAGCTCTAATGGAGAGAGCCGCTCTACAGCCTCTTGCCTGTTATTCTGTCTACGTGACGACCCTCCCGAGGGGAGACGAACTCAAATGTTTGATGGTTCTATTTATGTTTAAGGAATAGAGTGTTAAGCTATATTCCTAGTGTTGGAAATTATATTCAGTCCTAGTGAACACTTTATTATTAAGTATAAACACTAGACTGTTGTTTAACAAGAAATAAAGAGTAATATAAATACGTGACGTCGATGACGTCACGGAATCACCCATTCTCTTTTCTTTAAGGGGTAAACTCGTGTTATTATGTGTGTCGCATGTCTGACATTCCATGAACTGCGTCCTTGATACGTTAAGCGGGTTGCTTGGGTGACTACGTTTGGCAAAACGGTTGTATTTTTTTTTTTTACCCCGGATTGGTGAATCATGCGATTGGGCCGTGGCGAGAGTTGCACGGAGACGAAGCCTACTCCACCACCACCACCTGTTGCTTCTATGACGCGTCTAGTGATTGTCTGCCATACGTGGCTGGCTGATAATTGTACACTATCGGCAATTGGGTTATGTAAATGTCACGGCAGCATGCAACCTCCTCCCATCTGGTCCTACGAATTCCGTTTCGGTGGTGTCACGTGTGTGGGGAATGACAGTAATTGGCAGGACTGTCTGTCAGCCATATTACAGCCAATTTCGAGTGCTAGGCTGCACTCTGGCTATAAATGTCAGAGTGCAGAGTGTACCACATACAAAATTCTCAGGGGAATTGACAGGGTAGACAAGGCTGGAGTATTTAGCACGGGCGGCACACGCTCAAGGGGACACAGGTGGAAGCTGAGTACCCACATGAGCCACAGAGACGTTAGAAAGAACTTTTTCAGTGTCAGAGTAGTTAACAAGTGGAATGCATTAGCCAGTGATGTGGTGGAGGCTGACTCCATACACAGTTTCAAATGTAGATATGATAGAGCCCAGTAGGCTCAGGAATCTGTACACCTGTTGATTGACGGTTGAGAGGCGGGACCAAAGAGCCAAAGCTCAACGTCCGCAAGCACAACTAGGTGAGTACAACTAGGTGAGTATATACACACAAACACACACACACACGCGCGCGCGCAGGAAGCAGCCCGTAGCAGATGTCTAACTCCCAGTTACCTATTTACTGCTAGGTGAAATAGGTACATGGTGAAAGAAACTGCCCATTTGTTTCCGTCGCCGCCAGGAATCGAACCCGGGCCCTTAGGACTAGGACCCCCGATCGATGTCCACTCAGTCGCGAGGCCCCACGTACATTGTGTGTGTGTGTGTGTCGTAGCTCAGTCGATTAAGGCAGCGTCTGGGATGCTCTCGGACGCAAGTTCGAATCCTCGTCACGGCCC